GTGTTTTCCGATACTTCATAGTGGATGTTGTGGATCTCTGAATCCACCCCAGAGGTAGCGCGCTGCGGCCGTGAACTGGGTGAAAAAGTCTTGAGTCATGAACAAGTCTATATGTGAATTGGTATGAGTAGGTCCAGAGCTTAGCTTCCGTAACAAGTGGGTATCATAACAGTACAAATGGTATCCAAGCGCCAACAAATGGTATCAGAGCTCATACTCATCTATTCGCAGAGTCCACGTCTCTAGGAGGAGAGACATATGAAGGAGCTTCCAAGCGATAAAGAAGAATCGCAGGGATAAGTGGAAGCTGGTGGTCACATGGTTCTACACACGTGGATATCTGGTTAGTGCAAAAACCAGAGGATAAACTGAGATCAAGATCAGGTTAAAGAGATTTTTGTTTTACAAGAAACGAAGGAAAACTATTGAACGTTCTTTGCGGCGGTTGCACAAGTTTATGGACGAAAGATTCAGAAGTCAGTTGAATTGGTTGAGAGGATTTCTAGTTTGAAGTCAGGGTTCTGTAGAGTTCTCCAAGGGTGCAAGAACGTGCTACTATGTGAGAAGGACTTCAGGTTACTCACAAGATAAGATGGTGGCAGGCTGCTAACATAAGAAACAGAGGTTTTAGAGCTGTCCAAGATCTGCAGTCACAAGGCATGTGTGACTATATGCATTGGAGTTTTTCGGGTTTCTTCATGGTCTGCAAGTTATCATGGCTGTTTGAGTATCAGATGGTGTTCTTAGTCAGCGTGTGAAGGGTGTTGCAGAAGGGTTGAAGTAAATTGGCTGGTGCATGGTTTGTTTAGGTGTGATTATGAGAGTCTACAATTGGGTAGATGTTCAGAGAACAAGATACTACAAGGCTGCTATTTTCAGAGGGAATGCAGTGTGGTTTTCTAAGCAGATATGTATTTGGCGTAACACATAGTTTTCTGCTGGGATGGATCTGCGAGAACGAGGAGTTATTTGTTCAAGGCAGAGTTCGGCTGAACAGGTGGCGGTGTCAAATCAAGATTGTTTCGGGTTTTCTGCATGGGATTCAGTAGTAGTTTGTTTTGGCTTCTCAGGCATATGAGGGGAAACAAATGGGTCTACAAGGTATCACAGTTGCAGAGAGGTAATGGTTTGTTTGAGCAGAGGTTGAGCAGGGATTCTTTGCGTCGAAAGACTTCTTAGCAAGTTGAGCTAAGCGGCGGGTTCTGTTGGCAACAGCAGCGGTTCAGAGAGATGTTCAAGACAAGGTGTTCATTCAGGTTATTACAAAGAAAATTCTCAGAATAAGAAGTTGGTGTCTACAGGCTATTGAGGTTTGTTAAGGTATTGAGTCAAAGGGCTTCTAGTTTGAGGCAGTGGTGATTCATGTTCTGTAAGAGCTTCAATGTGGCATCGACATCAGCTGGATAAATTCTGGAGAAGAAGAATCAGTAGATTTGTAGTCACTATCACATCAAGTGTGACGAACCAGGGATGATGTAGAAAGATATGCAGCATCAGAGAGGGAAGCAGATGGCGGTTGTTTTTGTGGTAAACAAATATGACGGCTGAGACAGAGGAAGAAACGTTCACAGGAGGATCTTAATGCACGTGATGGTTTCAGGTTTGGGAAATCATGATGAGAGACTTGCAAGGGATGCAACGGTGTTTGCAAGAACGGGAAGACCTGTGTAAGCTGCAACAACAACAGCTGCACAGGTGGGCGTTTTCGTGATTAATGTTGGAGATTGATTTGGGTCGTCTGGGATGGAGGATATCTCAAGTTAAAGACAGACTCATATTAAGTCAAAGCTAGGCTTAAGGAGACGAAATCAAAGTTCATCAATCTCTCAGGGACTGAAGTTTTTTTCAGAGATCACAAGGAATGCAGGTTGTCTTTGCGAAAGATGATCAACGGATCTTGCAGCTACACAGGTTGGTTGTCGTGTGACAACAATATGACGAAGCAGAGGTGATTCTGTTTTGGTCAGTTCAAGTCAGTCTCGTGGGTGCATGAGAGGCAAAGTTTCTGGCTACTTGAAGAAAGCCAGAGGATTCACCAAGTTTGTGTGACTAAGACAGGTTGTACCTCCACGAAGAAGAAACTAGAGCAAGGACAAAGTGTGTAAAAGCCTACACAAGGGTATGTTGGAGCAAATGGCTATTTGTGGTAACAACATGGAGCAGCTTTAGTGAGGTCGTGTGAGTGACATGAAAACCTAAGAGAAAAGGCGATTCAAGGTTAGACTTAGCTTGAAGATTCTTGTCAAAGGCAGAGGAAAATGCGCAGGCAGAATCGGGTTGAACAAGTCGTTACGACTGATTGTAATCCTGAGAGTAACGGGTATGAGACAACAGTCATCAACACTTGTTCAAGAAGCAGGAAGTCGCTACCACAGCTAGCAGAAGCATGTGTGAGTTATACCTTAGAGGAATCGTCATGGATGTCTGAGTCGGAAGTTCAAGATGAATAGACTCAAAGGAGAAGTAAGGGACGCCGTTATGGTGTCATGACCAGAGGGGTCAAGGTGGAGCTCTCAGACAAAAATCGAAGCTCAGCAGCAAAAGGAGAAATTTGCAGACTTGACCAGGTCGAAACTTCTTGCTTGAACAAGTTATGGTTCAAGTATAATTACAGCTGAAGAAACTCGTCATAGGTTTGAGTTTGACACAAGAGAAGCTGTAAGGATTATCTCAGGAGCATCACAGACGTTGATGATGAGAGAAATTGTCTAAAGGCCGACAGGAACCACGAACAGTTGCAGAAACTTGGTTAATTCCCAGAGACATGGTACTTCTAAAGGTTATTTGATTCAGGTGGAGTCACTGAGATTATATGAGGAATGATGCATCAGGGATATATAATCTGATTCTAAGTGGAGTGAGTCACAGGTTCTCTGTTTTAGAAGATGTCTTGATTGTTTCAGCTGAAGAATAAAAGTTTTGGTTAGCAACTTGATCAGCTCAAGAGAGTAAGAGTTGAAGGGGAACTTGATTCCATGATAAGAGGGTCGTGGATAGGTTCAAGGTGTCAAGGCCAGAAGTGTCAAGATCAGTTAACAAGTACAAGGTGCATCACAAAGAGTTTGTAAGAGGAGTCTTACATAACATTACTTGTAGGCAAGACAAGTGAAAACGGCATATGTATCAAGAGTACACTGCAGTGAAGGTGATACAGAGGAGCCGAGTATGATGCAAGGTAAAACGTGGTGAAGTACTTAGTTAAACTGAAGTATCGAGCAGTGAAGATGAAGAATGGTGAGATGAAACAAAGTAAGAAGCTGTGGGAAGACATTGCAGGGATTGCAGGAAATTGTCTTACAGTTTGTCCATCTCAGGAAGGGTAAGACTTGTTCTCCACAAGCAGGCTCATCTTAAGCTCAATTCATGGAACTGAAAGAAGCTTCATGAAGGTTTAAATGCAAAGCAAAACCGATTGCATTTAAAGAAAGGAACATATGGAGTTCAAGATATATGTTCGCATCACAGGGGAAGATTGAGGAAGTCTCTTCAAGGTTCAACGAGTAACAGGTGTGTTCAGGTCGTTGATGGTGATGCACATGTTTCGGTTTTTTGGAGACATCTCAGTACAAGAAGGGTATTGAGGGAATGAATTCACAGCTAAGTAAAGGAGGGATATCAGAGATTCTAGATAAGATATCACAGTCAGCTCGTGAAGTAGAGCCAAGGCGTATCATGGACTAGATGGTATAAGGCTCAGTTCATTCAACTAGCAGTGGAGTCTAAATCTGTTAGTGCAGGTTCTGTTGTTGCAGAACAAGTTGATCAGATGGTGAAGCAAAGATATTTGTGTCGATAGTCTTCCTAATCATATGGTTTTAGGCGGCGTGTCCTGCTAAGTGTGCAGCGGTACAAAGTGATGCTCAAGTGCAATCTGTTCAGGAACATCAAGGGTAAGTCAAAGACTGTTTCAGAGATATGGAGCATGAGTGACTTCAAGGTTTGTGGTTGATTCTAAAGGGTTCAGTGTGACATAAAGGTTCTGTTGAAGCATGGTGGTTTTCACCAGGTTGTGTCGAAAATTTGTCTAGCAGTGATGGTTGGATGGCGTGTTCTGTTCAGAGTAACAGCGGTACAAAGGTGTTCAAAGCTGCAGCGTTTTAAACAGGTAGAGAATCAGAGGTTGTTTCAGGTCTGAAGCATATATGGTTTGAAGGTTGTTGCACAGTATTCAAAGACTTTGGTTCAAGGCTCAGTGCACATGAGTAGAATCGAAAGGCCGAGGAGAAAATCAACTTGCAGAAGGATGTTCAGGCTTCTGTTCAAGCAGTTGAACAGGTTCGTGATTTTGACAGCAAGTTTGTGTTGTTGATAAGTTCACGAGGAGTAAGAAGATATGAAGTAACACGACGTCAATGAGGAGTTGAGTTTGACACTTGGAGTGTAGCAGCTGGGTTCGCAACTCAAGACACTAGATGAAGGTGATGAAAATTCAGAATGGCAATGGGATTGTCACATACCTTTCATCAGGCATGATGTCTATGTTCATTGATGGAGCTGAGTGGATTTCAGTGTTTAATCTACTTAAGTAGTTGTGGTGTATAAGTTGAAGCTTATGCAGGTTTCAAGAAGATCAAGAAGGAATTTCAAGCTTAGCTCAAGATGGAGCTGGGAGAAGTGAGAAGAGATAAGAGATAAGAGAAGACAAGGAGAAGCAGAAGAGGAGGTATCAACACAAAGGAAGGGTTATGGACTTTAACCAAACAGGTGGAGTTTTGTGAGGTTTGGTTAAAGCCCATCAGGCGTGTTCAACTTGGGCCGGCTTTGGACAAGTTACGCGCGGACAACTTATGGGCTATTTATTAAAGCCCATTAGGTTAAGTGGTGACAATACAAAGGAGGAGAGATCACGACAGGGATCTCTAAGCACTAAGCAAAAGCTACGCCTCTTGGAGGCTGAAGCCTCAAGCCTCAGAGGAGTGCTTCCATGGCATCTCTTAGAGAGATAGAGTAAGCTAGAGATCGATATGTATTCTAGGCTTAGCTCTTAGCCATGTAACTCTTGTATTTATCTCTTGTATACTCTCTAGGGTTTGTGTACCCAGGACAGAGAGAGTTATGATCTTGTAAACCACATCGGAGGTGTTTTCCGATACTTCATAGTGGATGTTGTGGATCTCTGAATCCACCCCAGAGGTAGCGCGCTGCGGCCGTGAACTGGGTGAAAAAGTCTTGAGTCATGAACAAGTCTATATGTGAATTGGTATGAGTAGGTCCAGAGCTTAGCTTCCGTAACAAGTGGGTATCATAACAGTACAAATGGTATCCAAGCGCCAACATTTCCGTTACAAGAAGCAGAAGGAGCTCTTTGTCGCCGCCGAGGCTATGTACACCGGACAGTTCTTGTACTGCGGTAAGAAGGCCACTCTTGTCGTTGGAAATGTTCTCCCGCTTAGAGCTATTCCTGAAGGAGCTGTTGTCTGCAACGTTGAGCATCACGTTGGTGATCGTGGTATGCTGGCTAGAGCTTCTGGAGATTACGCTATCGTTATTGCTCACAACCCGGATAATGATACTACTAGGTTTGTGTCTGCGATTCTCGAACCAATATGTTGATTGTTTGGTGTAGAGCTTTAGTTATGTAGATGTTTATCATTAGGCCTGCCTGGTTCGTGCGGTTTGTTCGGGTCCGGTTATTCAGTTAGTTCGGTTAGTACAAAATTAAGCTGAATTGAACTGACCGCAATTAACCGAAGTTTTTGGTTTCGTTTTAATCTCGGTTAAAAATTCAGGGTTCTTGCTTAATTTCAGTTATAGTTAGTTATTTTGGTTCAAAAGTTTGTTAGTTTGATCAATTGGGTTTGGAATTTTGGTTATTAATTGGTTTTAAATAATATGTATAACCGTACTAACCGAATACTGAACTGAAGTGATGACTGCATTGTTATTTAATCCGATGAATTGTACTGAACTTGAACCCAAAATTTGAAAACTTCGGTTCGGATCTGGTCAAAATCCCAGCCCTATCTTGAAAATTATAATTTTGGAGTCAGTCTGCCACAGATTCTTATTTTGAATCAATGCTATGATTAAACTGATATTGATGATTTATTATATGTTTTTTGGCAGGATCAAGTTGCCATCGGGATCGAAGAAGATTGTTCCGAGTGGATGCAGGGCCATGATTGGTCAAGTTGCTGGTGGTGGAAGAACAGAGAAGCCAATGCTCAAGGCAGGAAACGCGTACCACAAGTACCGTGTGAAGAGAAACTCATGGCCTAAGGTTCGTGGTGTGGCTATGAATCCAGTGGAGCATCCTCATGGAGGAGGTAACCATCAGCACATTGGTCACGCGAGTACGGTTAGGCGTGATGCACCACCAGGACAGAAGGTTGGTCTTATTGCTGCTAGGAGGACTGGTCGTCTCAGAGGTCAAGCTGCTGCCTCTGCTGCCAAGGCTGAATAGGTTTCAATAAGATATATTTGTTTGAGCTTGTCTGGTGTTTCCTTTTTGGAATTTGGTTGCGTTCTTAAAATCTTTGTTTTGTTAAAGTAGGATCTGTCTTTCTCTATCGAAGCTTATAGTGCATTTGCAAATTTTTATTTCCCAAATCTCTCATCATGTTATAATCTTTTGGTTTTAGTTCCTCATGTGTGCGGTTGTCTTTTGCCGGATACTAAAAAAATACACTTTAGTTATCTGACTAAAAAGAAATTGAGTAGGATAGACTATATTAGAGATTATGACAAGCTGAGCTTTCCATCAAGGATACAAGTAGAATATTGATATGATAATTGGATTCTCCAGCTTGTGGTCGCATATTCAGACCAGTGTTTCCACCTCAAGGAAACTCTCCTGTAAATGGAGTGTTTTGCATGAGTGTGTCTGATATGTAATAATAACATGCTTGAGGAAGGAAAAAGTAGAGTAGGGAAAATATGACTCCCATCGGGTGCACTTGTGTCCTATCCTAAGAGTATCTCCAACCCAACTTCAAATCCTCACATTTTAAGGTTTTTGTCATTCCAACCGAACCTCAAATCCTCAAATTTTGAGGTTTTGAATAGTGACACTTCAAATTTAAGGTTTCACTGTTCAAAACCTCAAAACTACTATTCATTTTCTTTTTAGTCCTTACAATTATTTTCGTTCACAAATACATCTATTAACTTTATTCAGATAACTTAAATATACCAAAATAAAATAAAATATAATAAGTAATACAAAAATTAAAAGTAAATTTACACATATATAAAAATACATTAAATAAACTCATAAAAAATAAAATAAAAAACATGAAACAAACTTAACATAAATTAAAGCAAACTATAGAAACATTTAAGTATTGCATATCTTACAAGTGGTATATTATATGTAACTTTCTAAAGTTTTTCAGTGTGTATGTTATTTTATTATATATATAATTTATATTATTTTATCATATAATATTTTAATATTGTGTGTTTTATAATATATTAATTGTATGTTTTATATGTATTTATGAAATATTGTCATTATTCATAGTTTTTATTATTATCAAGGACTATAATGCAAATAATATAAACTTTTAAGGAGTTTTTGAGGTTTTATGGTTGAAGCAATCAACCCTAAATCTTCATTTTGAGGTTTTGCTCCCCTTAAAATGAGGTCTTGGGTTGGAGATGCTCTAAACTCAACTATTCCATCAAAAATGGGTTTTTGTTCCAGTTCATTTTCTCAGTAGCCTTTACAAAGTAAGCCAAGTCGTCTACCAGTTACTGCAGATGTTTAGAGGTGAAAATTGTCTTATGAAAAATTGATATAAATCATGGGGAAATAGTTTTTTGGCCAAAAAAATAGTAACATTGTCTCTTTCGACTAATCTCTATTACTTTATGTTCAATTAGGCTAAATATTTTCTAAATGGCAATAATGCCCTTAAATTCAATTAAAAATCGTAAAAAAAAAAATTAAAAATAAAAATCTTTAAATCGCAAAAAAATACAAGAAAAGAAACTCCTTTATACGACGAGATCGATCGATCGATCCCTGAAACAGTCGGTCGATCCCTAAGTTCGATCTCGATGATTAAACAAAAATATTAAAAAAGCACAGAGCAGAAACTGATCGGCCTTGTCCAGTTCAGTCAGATCGATCCCGTTCCCAGATAATTCTTCCAGCTCGATTTCCTGATTTTTTTGGTTATATCCGGTTTAATTCACACTTGATTTGAACCGAGTAAACACGATTTAACCTACTAATTCATGTTTTTGGGATCAAACCCATCACTCTTCTCTGCCATCACGTAAAAGGGGTAAACAATGGAGGTTCCTCATTCATAAACCCTAACTCACTCAGTATTGCTCTGATTTGGACGATTCTTGAGCCTAAACCACACAACTTCACGAAATTTTTCTGAATCTATTACTCTTCCGTTTGATTTGCAAAGGTTTGAAACTCAATCTCCACTTTTAGAGTTCGAAAATACTATGAAAAGGTTGACTTTTTGAGTTTGTTATGATGTTTAGGCTTGAATTGTGTGTAATGGTGATGTTTAAGGATGATTTTGCACCCAACACATGCCTTAAATCGTAGTTTTAGGATAGATTTAGGAATTTTAGGTTTTCTTCTTAAAAATGAAAAGTAAACCCCAAATTTAAAATTGAAATCTTGGGAATTTTGATCCTATAATATTGAGTTGAGTTGCATTGGTTATTGATAAAGTTTTAAGAGTTATTATTTTACTGAGTTGTGTTATTGGTTATTGATAGCTACTGTTTAAAACTTTCAGGTATGGAGTTTAAGTTGCATGGTCGTCTATACGGTGAGGGCTTGGAACCTCAGGTTAAGAAGATTAATAACAGCTGTCGACTAAGACTTCTCGAGTTGCTAGAGGAAAAATTGAAGCCAGAATTCGATGCAGTGATAAAAAATATCCTTTTCTCGCATATTATAGATATTCAGAAGAATGATCTAAAGTTCTCGGCGAGGCTAGTACATTCTTTCTTGTGTAAAGAGTTGATGACAAGTGAGAAACATGAGAAGTGGTTTACATTTTCAAGGATACCTCTGCGTTTTGGACTTCAAGAGTATCATGTTGTCACTGGTCTGAAAGTGAAGCAAGAGAAGACCAGTGGGTCAGTGAAATGGAGTGATGATGATGGTTTTTGGAACAACCAGATAAGGACGCGTGGGAAAATCAACTTGCAGATTATAAAAAAACAGTATTTGGAAGAGAGTAGTAGCTGGACTTGGGTTGATAGGGTGAGACTGATCTATCTATGTATCATTATGGGTGTGGTGATGGGGAGGGATGAGAAGGTGAATATCCCACTTCTCTACATGAAGTTGGTGATGGATTTGGAGAAACTTCGGAACTACCCTTGGGGTATGTACTCGTTTGATTTCCTACTGAAATCGATGGAAAAGACAAGGCGTAAATTGGAGCAGAAGGAGGGGTACCTGATGGAAGAGTTCTTGTTTGCTTTCCAAATTTGGATTATGGAAGCTATTCCTGCTTTAGGAGAGATTTGTAGCACAAAAGTCAGTGATAATTTTACAGGTCCTCTGTGTGGTAATTGGACAGGATGTGCTAAATGTTCTTATGAAGATATCATTGGCGTTGAGACTTTATTTCCAGAGAAGGTATTCATATAGTTTCTATTAAAGTTTCTTTTGATTATCTTGTTTACTTTACTAATTATTTGATCGTTCTGTAGAGGATTTTGGATTCATTCATTGAGATCAACAGAGATGGAATATTTGTATGGAAAGACGAGAAAATGATCTAAGAGTGGATCGCATTCTTGATATGATCCAAAGAAAACATGATTGGAGTAATCATGTTTGGAGAGTAGAACAAACTACAAAGTCTGAATTTGAGGCAGCTGACGATGAGGAAGGATAGGAAGGAGAGGAAAGAGAGAACGATTAAGAAGGAGAGAAAGGAAAGGATCAAGCAGCTGTTACTGAGATTAGCGAGAATAGTCATGCCGCAAAAAATGTTGATGGCACAACTGATGTTTCGGGAAGAAACAAGAGAAAGCATGCGGACCAAGGAGCAGAGTATAGGAAGAAGAAGGTGTTGTGCCAGCTAGCTGCTTCATCGAAAGGGAACAATGACGCAGATATGCGAAAATTCTTGGAATGTGTTGTACAAGCTTCTTTTACGATTTTGGAAGAGAAACTCAGTCAGCAGTTCTTGGATAGAATTGACAAGTTTGAGACAGTGGTAATTGACAGATTGGGAAAGATTGAGACTGAGGTTACACAGCTCAGGACAAATTTACAGGTGATTGAATTGGCAGGGAAGAATGATCAGTCCGCCTATCGTTTTCGCTGAAGCTGTTTTACCGGATCTAGTTTTGGTTGAAGGTGCGCAAGAATGTATACCGACATACTTTTTAATAAAAAAATATGTAGAGCCTTTCAAACACTCAGCTCGAACACCCCAGTTGCAAACCTTATCAGAGCATCTAATACACCAAACTGATTTGTTGGATTTGGTAACTTTGTAGTCAAAATTATGCTTCATTGCACATAACTCAAACCTCGCCTTCAACACTGCTCTGTTGAGGAAAAGATCTCTTTTCTTAACCAACTCGATCACATAAGTATTTGCCAAATTTTTTGTTTTCTTTTTCAAAGAAGATGGTGTCAGCAACATCATCATCTCCATCAACATTGTCTTGCTTCATCTTTCTTTTTTTCTTCTCCTTATGCTTGTCAGCATCATGATCATCTCCATCAGTCTCGCCTTGCTTCATATTTCCCTTCTTTTTCTCGTTAGATTTAGTCCCTTTAACATTACTTAAAGCGTCTCCATTGTCACAAGGATTTCGTTCCTCCTCTTCACCAATACATGAATCAGTTGGCATCTTATTAAGATCAATGTCGGCCTTATTTGGATTCACATACTTCGGTTTATAGGTAACACACAACCGAGTTGACTGATGGTTCTTACAAAACCTTAGAAAATTATGAACTTGGCGTGAGTTTCCAATGATCACCAGTGGACATTCTGATGAATTGATCAACCCAATAGGTACATAACTCAACTCCAAATCGGCATCTCTTTCTTCAAAATCAAAATCCTCAATAATAGTTTTCTGTAATTCTTCCAAATAACACTTCAATTCTAAAGCAAGTAATCTTCCCCTTTTTTTCATCAACGGAAAAACTTCAACCTGTAGCTACAACCAATTCCCAAAAACCAAATGAAGCATAGACATGATCATGGTAGAACCAATGTGAATTTTTTCTGAAGGATGGAGAAGATGGCGTGAGTTTCCAAATAAGTTTTTTTTTTACTATTCTAATGAAAAAATGATTTTTTTTAATCAAAAAATCGATTTTAGTTATGGAAATTGAATATTTTCAACAATTTCCTTCCTATATTTTCGGAACAGAATATTATTATTCGTAGAATGTGTATTCTACTATATTTAAAATACAATAATAATGTTTAAAATCAGGTTCTACAGGTTTAAGATTTATAATAATGTGTAGATTCTGATTTCTACTTATTTTAGATTTTATAGCAACGTGTAGAATCCATTTTCTACTGATTTTAGAAAGATAGTTTAAGCGTGTGTATTCTAAACATAGTAAATTCAATGAAAAAAGTAGATTTTATTTTCTACTTTGTAGAATGCCACTTCTACTTTATGTAGAATATAATTTGAAACAAAATTTATACATTTTAGAACTTGAAAAATAACATCACTAGATTGATATTGGTGTTTCATAACTAGTTTATTTTTTATTTTATTTTTCTAAAACTATTTATTTTATTTATTTTCGAAATTAATAAAAGAAACATTATAGGAAAAAATGGTACAAAACAAAAATTAGCCTAAACGGAAAATGTTACCATTTTTTTTTGTTTAAAAAAAAATTCCGCATAAATCATTTATCATAGTCTGACATTATCCACTTGTATCAAGGTTCATTCATCAAAACAATTGCCGAAAGAGCTTAATAGCCCTGCGATTTTTAACCGAACCGACCGGTCCGAACTGGACCGAACCGAGAATCGTGCGGTTCGGTTCACATTCGGTTAGGGAGAAGAAACCGATTGGCAGTTATTTAAATTACATTCGGTTACCGCATCGGTTCGGTTCGGTTCACTTATTCCGATCGGTTATCCGAAATTAACCTAAGTATATATACCTTAAACCTAATTGTCGGCTAAAACTAAATCGATTAACCTAATCTCTTTTCTCTTTCTCTCAAACCCGAGTCGCCATCTTCTTCGAACCCAAGCTGAAACCCTAGTAATCCTTTCTTCTTCGTTTGATAATGACCAGAAGGTAAGATCTTCTTCACTTTTATCAAGTTGTATGTCGATTTTGAGCTTGGGTTCGGTGTTTAAGATTCTTTGGTTTTTTTTTATGTTTAAGATTTGAGATGGATATTTGATTTTGGGTTTTCTCAAAATTGAAAAGGATTATCGTTGTGATACTGTGTAGTATGATTATTGTTTGATTATTGTTTCAAAAATTTTCAATATTTCAGTGTCTACTCGAGATGGAAGTATGATTTAGTGTTTATGTGGAAATCGATATGTTTATATTTTTTGTGTTTGGGTTTTGAGATGAGTTGATTTAATTTTAACAAACATTATTCTCTATTCTCTAACTGAACGAGGTTTATTCTTGTTTATGCAGATGTCAGGATTTGAAGACAATGATGAGATACTTGGAGATGGAACTGAATCACACGCTAATGGAAGGAAAAGATCGGCTACAGAGAGATCAAGTACTGATCATCCTCCGGTGGCAAAAAAAAGACAAGCTCACAGGGCACCAGTGTGGGAACACTTCATTCAAAATGAAGATGATCTAAGCGTCTGCAAATGTCGCTATTGTGGACAGCAGATCGGATGTGACAGCAAAAAGAATGGGACAAGCGCAATGAACAACCATATTGGCCGTTGTAAGTTACACAAAGCTTTTCAGGAAAGTGGTAAGCAGCCGGGTTTAGGAACTGATGGTAGTGGGGTACTTACTGCTGTTACCTATGATGCAACATTGTTTAGGAGATCAGTGAATGTGATGATTGTGTTGAATGAGCTGCCTTTTTCTTTTGTGGAATCTGAGGGGTTTAGGAGATTCTGTCACAATGTCCTTCCCATGTATAAGGTTCACTGCAGGAAAACAGCTACAACAGATATCTTTGGGATGTTTATGTCAGAGAAAGCGAGATTGAAGGAGTTGTTTTGCTCAGAGAAGAAGAGATCTCCTTAACCACTGACATTTGGACAGCTCCTACGACATCCTACAGCTACATGGTGGTCACATCGCACTGGATAGATAGAAACTGGGATATGCAGAAAAGGATCATCAGTTTTAAACCTGTGACAGATCACAAAGGAGAGACCATTGCGGAGCATCTGAGTCAGTATCTACACGATTGGGGAATTGAAAAAGTGTTCACGGTGACTGTTGACAACGCAAAAGGTAATGACAAGGCACTGCGTCTCTTCACTGAAGCTTGTAGGCAACTAGGACCTAATACTCTGATCAAAGATGGTGCCTTACTGCATATGCGCTGTTGTGTGCACATACTGAATCTGATAGTCAGGGATGGTCTAGCTGAGGTGAAAGAGAGTGTTTCAGCTATTAGGAACGCAGTCAAATATGTCAGGTCATCTGGTCCAAGGCTTCAGTCTTTTCACCTGAGGGTTACAACTGGAAATGTTAGTCGAGGAAGCTTGTCTCTGGATTGTATCACACGGTGGAACTCCACCTATCTTATGCTATCATCTGCTCTCAAGTTTAGAGTAGCATTTGAGAGGTTATTGGCGGAGGATATACCGTATAATGAATACTTTAAGGAATCAGAAGAGAATGGAAGTAAAAGGATTGGGCCTCCAACCTTTCAAGGATGGAATGAAGTGCATAGGTAAATCAAATTCCTTAAGCTATTATATTTTTTATTTAATACTCTTTACTAAATTAATTTTACTTACTAATGTGTATAGGTTAGTCAAATTCCTGAAGCTGTTTTTTGGTAGTACTTTGGCATTTTCAGCATCGAAGACAGTGACCTCTACAAGCTGTTACAATGAGATTGTGATAATAGAGAGGAATTTGATAGCTCTGAGCAATAGCAGGGATGATCTTCTACGGTTGCAGGCAGTAGAGATGAGGACAAAGTTTGAGAAATACTGGGATGGGCTCATCAACATGAATCCGCTGGTCATTATTGGGANGTGATAATAGAGAGGAATTTGATAGCTCTGAGCAATAGCAGGGATGATCTTCTACGGTTGCAGGCAGTAGAGATGAGGACAAAGTTTGAGAAATACTGGGATGGGCTCATCAACATGAATCCGCTGGTCATTATTGGGAGTATCTTCGATCCTAGAAACAAGATGGTATTTCCATCTATTTGTTTCGACAAGCTATATGTCAAAGGAAGTGTGGAAAGTGAGCATTTGAGAACCTCGATCAAGGCACTGCTCAAGCAGCTTTATGAGGAGTATGTGCAGAAGATGGGTCCACCATCTCAAGGTGATAGTGGTGGAAGAAACATGAGTGATGATGGGGAAACAATTGCGCTGTTTGAGATGTCTGATGACGAGGAGGAGTATGAGGGGAGGGATTCTTTATATTCTGAAATGGTTTCTGAGGCTGCAAATGAAGAGTCTTCTAGTGAGCTTGATATATATCTGATGGAAAGGCTTGTGCCAAGAAACTCAAACAAAATGGGGTTTGATTACAATGTTCTATCATGGTGGAAGCGTAATTCTGTCAAGTTCCCAATATTATCAGAGCTAGCAAAGGATGTTCTTGCGCTTCAAGTTTCTTTTGTGGCTTCAGAGTCGGCTTTCAGTACTAGTGGGCGGATTCTGGATCCTTTCCGCAGTTGCCTCACGCCCTTTATGATTGAAGCACTGGTCTGCACACAACAATGGCTTCGGAATAATATCAGTGCAGAGAAACTTGCTAGTTTGAGTCAGATGTTTGAAGAACTTGATTTCCATGATTCTTTAGGTAATTGTTTTTGCATTTTACTCTTCTTTGCATATATCTAATGTATTTTTTTGAAGATCATTGACTGTCTTTCACTCTTTCTCATTGTGTAGAGACTCTACCACTGCAAGACTCAGGAGAAGAAACGAACCAGTAGAGGTACATTATGGCCTTTGTTACGTTAGTGCCTTTGTGTTTTAGTGTTCTGTTTTTAATTTTCTTAAAAATCTTATAAGTTGCAGGTTCAGATTCGAGACTGAGGGGATGATGATATGTTTTGTTTTTGGTCCCTCATTCTATTTTTTGGATGTTCTCAATCTTTTTTGGACTTTATGTTTGATGTATCTATGAATAATGAATCTCTGTCTCTTTGGATATGTGTTCATCACAAAGAGTTGTAGATTCATTAACAGAATGCTTGATTTTTTTGTTATGATGATTGAGAAAGGACGATGAATGTTATATGTTTATGTTGTTTCTTTTTTCATTGCACTAACGTTTTTTGTTTTGTTTTAGGTGAAACCGAAAATAAGGCTAACCCGAGATTAACCGACTAACCGATAATAACCGAAAATACCCGATTTTTCGGTTTTGATGTTTAAAAAATTGAAATCGGGTATTTTCGGTTTCTAACTTCAATTCCGAAAAAAATCGCAGACCGAACCGACCCGAAGCGATTTACAAATCGTTTATTTTCGACAGGTTTTTCCATTACCGAACTAACCGAGAAACCGAAGTAACCGACCCGAACCGAACCGACTAACCGAAATCGCAGGGCTAGAGCTTAAGATCAAAGAGACTGTCACAAAATAAGCAATATAAACATGCATCCTCATGAGACAGTAGCAGCAGTAACACATACGTATTTATAAGACCTAGGGACAGTAAGCACTATATCCAACCACTCAATCTTTTCCCCTATCATTTCACTATTTCGATTTATCAAGAGCAATCTCTGCACACCACATCATCTTCTCCGTAGGCACATACTTGTCCCACAGAATCACCATCGTACCACCGTGTTTTAACCGAAAATGGTGTATTTGTCGGATTCATAACAATTAAAGATTTAAGAATTGGATCCTTAAATCCTTGAGGTTTAGGAGAATCAAACATAGAAATCAAATGAGAAATAGAACATCAAAGAGATTTTATTGATAATAGATTCATTACATTGAGTGATTACAAGTGTAAAGTGAATCTATAAATCTCTAAGAAATGTTATTGATCTAAAAAAGTGAAGAAGAAGCTCTTGCTAAAGAGAAACGTCTCTTTATTTATACAAGGATGAAGCCTAGCACATCCTAATAAAATGGGCTTAATTCATTGTCTAATAGACCTTGCGGAATTATATAAATCCACCCCCAACACACCGTAAACCACCAATTTAACAGCCCTATAATTGGCAAACTGTACTCCTTTCAAAACCTTTACTTTCTTCCAATCCACTCCTCTTACATTAGCATCATACAAAATTCACGGTTACTGTACGTGCTTTTTTTTTCGCGTGAGCCGATTGTTCCAAATGAAGATGGGTTTTAGAAATCAAATCTAAGTTATTACGGTTCGATCGCTTTTAGTCTGGTTTGTTATACCGGTCAACCAAACCGAACCGAACCGCAAATGACAAAAGGAAAATCATATAATGGACCTTCTGAGTGAAACAGAGGGACTCAAGGCTGTCATGCGGGTGGCTCTAATGGAGGTGGAGCCTGTGGAGTGACTTTGGGGCGACTCAACAAGGTTCGGTTTCTATTCATGTGGAAAGTAGAGTAGGTTCGTTCCCAGGTTCGACAGATAGAGAAATCGGAAAACTCCTTTAATGGCATTATTATCATCGAAGAGACTCCGTTCCTTTGCGGTCCTCTTCTTGTGCATCTCTCTGCTGCTCGACAAGGCTGTATCCATCAGAATATCGAATCAGATCTCAGATCCCGTCGTCGTTGATTCCCCGGATCGTCCCTTGAAATCGGCAGTTTTCTCTCTCGGGAGCTTCTGGCGATCGGAGGCGGCGTTCGGATGTATCAACGGCGTCGTACGAACAACGGCCGGTTACTCAGGCGGAACGAAGACGAATCCGGAGTATAGGAAGCTTGGTGATCACGCCGAGTCTGTTCAGGTTCCTTCTCCTTTTATCAGCTAGGTTTTGATAATATGTGTGTGTGTGCACAAGAAGATTTCTTAATATACGTTTTAATGAGACTCATCAGGTTGAATATGATCCAAGGATAGTTGGTTATCGTCAGCTCTTAGATGTATTCTGGTCTAGTCATGATTCCAGACAAGTTTTTGGACAAGGCCCTGATGTCGGTAATCAATACAGGTCACAATAATAACAAGATTTACATAACTTTGAGTTATCTGAAGAATCTTTTCTTGTTTATTACCCAAAAAAAAAGACTAAAAAGATCCGAATCATTTTTAAACAGATCCTTGATTTTCACTAACTCTACGGAAGAGTTGAGGTTGGCTACTATTAGCAAAGAAAGAGAGCAGCTTAAATCAAGAAGCAGTATCGTCACTACCCAAATCCAACAGCTTGCAACCTTTTATCGCGCAGAGCCTGACCATCAGGTCTTCATCTTTTTTACATTTTCTTTAACAACAACTCGTTCAGCTATTGTTAATCCATTGAATTCTCTGACTTTGAAATATGTAGAAGTTTGAGCTGAAACAGCATCCCTTCCTTCTTCAATTAATTGGAAACATGGCAGAAGAAGAGCTCGAGAGATCAGCTCTAGCCACAAAGCTTAACGGTTATGCAGCAGAGCTCTGCCCACCTAGAGTCCAGAAACAAATTGACTCCAGAGTAAACGAGATTATTAGAAAAGGTTGGCCCGTCTTGAAAGACATTTAATATATATTGTGTCCACCTGATTCTCCTCGTCTTGGTTTCGATTGATCATATCTCAAATGTAAGTTTTTGTTTATTCTTTTGGCCAGGAATTTTTGGTTGTATACTTATTGCTGCAATGTTTGTATGTTTTCTCTTTGTTATCACTCGCATAGAATAAGCTTCTTTGTTTCCCAGTATTATTTGGACTTTCATCTATTTATCTTGTTAAAACTGAAATATTATTTGATGTCATTTACAAATTATTCTATCAATGATTAATAAAAAGTTATCCCACATTTTTAGCAATTGAATCATTAATTTTTGTATTATTATTTAATAAATATAAGAGAGACTAACTGAAATACTATGGATACCACTTTTACAATTTAACCATTTACGAATCCGTTAGATTTGCTTCACAGTTTGCGACATCCACCATTTATAAATTTGGAAAATGTCAAAACCAATCAAGAACAACTTCAAAATCGAGGCTATTTATGCAACAGAAAACACACTCGAACACACAATGAAATATTTACTCTAGGAGACAAAAGTTGAAAACAAAGTTGAGTTTTCAATTTCTTTAATAGACACATTAAACGTATAAGACACTTTATCTAAACAAATTGATCAAAATAACTTTTAACTAATGAGATGGTTTCTTTCTTATTTTTTCGTTAGTCTTTCTAAACACAATTTGCAATTGTCAAGCACTTATTTTCTACATCTCTATTTATTCTCTGTCAACCATATAGAGAACAAAAATCCTAAAAAAAACTAAAAAAGAACAAATCACAGCTTTGAAAGTTCAGTGGTTTCTTCCCTTTCTCAGCAATCTACAAAATTGTCTCTTTTTCAATGTCGTCGATCCTCCGGCTAGAAAAGGCGACACTCACCACCTCGTTTCTCTCACATCCACCTCTTATGGCTCTCTCCTCCTTATCAGATCCCAAAACTCCTCATATTAAATGACATTTCCTGATATCTCAATCTCTTGTCAGATCTATCTTTATTTCTTGACAACTCTATTCTCTGATTCTCAACAAAGATTATTGAGAGATATGAAGAAAAGTTGCAGCTTAAATATTCATTGAAATGTCTATGTATGAAATTGATATGATTTAAAATAATAGTGGAGGTGACTACTTGAGAGGAAGAGCTGGCGGTGGATACTATTGAAGTGAAAGACGTGAGGGTGGAGTTGTAAGGTGGTGGTTGTGGTCAAGGCGGTTGTGGACAAGGTAGTGATGGTTGTTGATGTGGTGGTTGTGGTTGTGGATAAGATAGTGATGTTGTGGACGAGACAGTGGTGGATACGAACGTGAAAGAAGTGAGGATAGATACAGAGATAAATTGGCTATCCATATAGTTGTTGTTTATGGCTTTTATGTCCACTATTCTCCTATCTAGAGATAAAGGTCAGTTTCTTGTGAATTTGTGTGTTATATTGGTTGATTTTACTAAACTATTTTCTGTAAAATCTCTTTTAGTGATCAGATTTATAATCAGCATAGTAATAGAGTTTTAGATACATCTCATAGTTATCTGCAACAAAGAGTTTAATATCTCCTGAAAATGGTAAAAATGGTAGTAAACCGCTAGTTGCATCTACCATCTAACGTTAATTATAAAAAAATTATCTACAATTTTGCCATCCACAATGCATATATCCATACTTAATTCGTACACAATAAATTTGTCCACAATCTCCTATCCAAAAGCATATTTGTCCACAAACTTCTATCCACTACTCTAGAATCCACGACATATTTTGAATAGCTACTTCTATCCACTACTCTAGTGTTCACGAGAGAAATATTTCTTCTTAATTGCACCAGTTACCAAAACATCTCGTACAAGGAGGTAATCTTCCCCAGTTGTTAGATGTTTTCCTTCAAATCAGATCCAATGTTCCAAAACTTTTCTCTCTCTCCCATATATCTATCTATTTTTCTTTACCTGTTTTTCATTTATTGTAACTCAACTTAATTATAATTTCTTCTAGTTAGATTAACTATCAACAATAACTTGCTTCTTTAATTGTAACTGGAAATTTTCATTTCCTTTCAGGGTAATTTTGATTCGAAAATAGACAGTTGTTACCAATATTGTGTGCCATCCACCAGATTTATCTTTTAGTGAGTAAGTGTGTCTCTAACGTAAGTATCTCACACAATTCACAAAAATGTTATTTAGACAAAGATCGCCAACGTGGATTAAATCTTTATAATACTAAAACCAAGAAATATCTACACACCACCAGTACAGTAGTAAGTGTGTTTTCTCCTACAAGACATTAAATATGCCACGTGTATAATCCAGATTCATTACAGTACACGTAAGTGATCCTTCAGCAAAACTCATAACCAAGCATACAGGTACACGTGTACATTTCTCGGTGCTATATATACTTCTGCTAGTGCTTAAAAAGCAACAGATAAGCACGAACATAACAATCCTCTTCCTTTTGTCTAAAAAAAAAATCATTTGTCTTGTTACGCAAGTGTGTTCCCTCTAATGGCGAAAGAGAAAACAGAATCTCCGACGGTGAAGAAGACTTCTATCGCGTCAAAAGAGAAGCCAAAGAAGCTTAAAAAACCCAAAACCACCACTCATCCTCCATATTTTCAGGTAAAAAGAGAAGATATTTTTATTCTTTTTTATTTGAAAATGTAATTTTTGTTTCTAACATGGTTCTACCTCTGTTTTTTTTTGATGAAGATGATAAAAGAGGCTTTGATGAATTTAAAAGAGAAGAACGGGTCAAGCCCTTACGCAATAGCAAAGCAGATAGAGGAGAAATACAAACCTGTACTCCCCGAGAATTTCCGTAAAACACTTTCTCTGCAGCTTAAAAACTCTGTCGCTAAAGGTAAGCTCGTGAAGATCAGAGCCTCATACAAGCTCTCAGAGACCACCACCAGGACAACAAGGCAGCAACAGCAGAAGAAGAAGATGGAGACTCGGTCGAAGAAGGCTGCAAGCAAGCCGGAAATGGTGACGAAGAAGAAGAGGAGAGCAAAGAAGCCAAGACAGGTTAAGTCGATCAAGTCGCCAGGTTCTAAGAAGGTCTTGAGAGCTTCCGCCTCTTGATCAACAAGAAAGACGAAGAGGAGGAGGGTTTGTGAATATGGAGAATAAGGGTTTCCTCTCTGTAAAATAGTTGACTCTGTGTTTTGGTATGGTGTGTCTCCTTCTTTAGGGCTTATAAGGGTAAAGAGTCTTGGTATGTATGATAACTTCGTACTTTTCAATATAATATATGCAATAAGTCCACATGACCACTTTGGTGCTAGGTTGTTTCTGTACAGTTTTCGTCGCCTCTGCTCTCTATGTGCTGCTACGAAGTTCTCTCCAACAATTCAGTTTAGGAGATAACCTCAAGGGGTTTTCAATCTAAAAAAGAGATTCGTGGAATCTAAACGGCATTATTCTCCGACTGGAGAGTTAAGAATACACAAATTTGGATCAATAAAAATCGCAAGAAAGATTGTGTATTGGTTGAAAACTTTTTTTTTTTTTTTTTGTAAAACCGTTAAAAATTCGAAGGATCAATATATTAGAGATACTTAATCTAGGAAATCTTTTTTCATGCTAGAGTAGAAAGTTAACTTTCATGGGTTTTTCTCTCTCCTTCTCTTTGTTCTCTCATCTCTATTTTTTACAGAGATGAAGTTGAGAAGAGATTAACATAGCAATCCAGAAAGCAATACAGCGTTAAGCCTATATAGCCCATAGCACACATATACACCTAATGGTTCATTTCCATACTCTTGATGTTCTTTCTTTATTTTTTGAGCTACATACTAATATTTGATATCCACTAGTAATTCATGCACCATCGTTTCTATTTAAAGTAACCTGAATTATCAAAGCACACATTTCCACAAAGACTACGGATCTCACTTTCCTTAATTAGATTCGATGGTATCCGTCAGATATTACTAAGAGATCATTTTAGCCGTCGATTACATTCTTTTATTTAGAAAGTGGTCTTCCCTTGATTTCGGTTGACGCTTTGACGTTGTTTCAATAAAGTCAAAATAACCGGAAATCAGTGTACATCGCCGGGAAATGTCGTCGGATCTCGTTATTATTCTGATCACCACCGTCACTGCGTTTTTGTCTTGTTCGACTAATGCCTTGTTACATTCTGGGAGTGCCTCTCATGGCGTTTCCCCAAGAGACTATTACTTGACTACCGATGAGCATTGGTTTAATCAAACCCTAGATCATTACTCTCCTCACGTAAATTTTCAGACAAGAGTTTCAGATTCATTGCTTTTTTTGTCCAAATTCATCAAGAACATTATTTAGTTTTTTCCCACAGGATCATCGCAAATTCAGACAGAGATACTATGAATATCTTGACAACTTCCGAGCCCCAGATGGTCCTGTCTTTATGATAATATGCGGTGAAGGTCCTTGCAGTGGCATAGCTAAAGATTATATGAGTGTAATAATTTTATTTACCTGATGATTCCTTGCATGACAAGAAATTAAATATATTGATGTTTTTTTTTTTTTTGATAAAGGGCTTTTTAGATATTGATGTTTTTGATAAATATTTAGGTATTAGCAAAGAAGTTTGAAGCAGGTGTGGTTTCATTAGAACATAGGTACTATGGGAAAAGCAATCCTTTTAATTCATTAGCTACGGAGAATCTGAGATACCTTTCATCCAAACAAGCCCTTTTTGATTTGGCTACTTTCCGTCAACATTACCAGGCAAGCCTTGGTTTCATTTCATTCCATTCACGGAATCATATCATTATGTTAGAGAATTATCATTTATGGATTTTGTTAATGCAGGAAGGTTTGAATGTTAAGTTGAATAGAAGTAGTGGTAGTAGCGACAACCCGTGGTTCTTCTTCGGGATTTCTTATCCTGGAGCTTTAAGTGCTTGGTTCCGGCTCAAGTTCCCTCACTTGACCTGTGGAAGCCTTGCTAGTTCTGCAGTTGTTCATGCTGTCTATGACTTCTCTGCATTTGATCAGCAGGTATCATCATCAATAGCATAGTTTCTTAGTATGAAAATGGAAGAAGTATAACACTTTTCTTTGTAAGGTTTAAGGCTGTGATGTATGTTGGAATGTTCATATTGGTTTCATCTTTTGTTTCGCTATGAGCAGATTGGTGAATCAGCTGGTCAAGAATGCAAAGATGCACTACAAGAGACTAATAAACTCCTGGAACTAGGGCTTCAAGTAAACAGAAAGGAGGTGAAAGCCCTCTTTAACGCCACCGAGCTTCACGTTGATGCTGATTTCTTATACTTAACCGCTGATGCAGCGGTTATGGCGGTAAGGATCCATACTCATTATTTTACATGTTCTTTTCCTAGTCCTGTGTGATTAGTGATACTTACTGTTCAAAATCTTGCAGTTCCAGTACGGAAATTCAAATAAACTATGTGTCCCGCTTGTTAAAGCAAAGAAGAACGGTTATGATTTAGTGGTAATTAAGCTCACATTGTTCTTTTTCACCCTCTTTTCAGCCTGAAAATATCGCATTGGATATGAACATCTTGTATTTACTATAGACTTAGTTATTGGGTTTGGAATGTAGGAAACATATTCTAAATATGTTAGAGACTATTGCATGAAAGATTGGGGCCTACACGTAAGACCATATAACCGGAAACATCTGAGAAACACTGTTATTACCGCCGAGAGTACATATCGGATATGGTGGTACCAAGTTTGCACAGAACTAGCATATTTCCAGGTGGCACCTGCAAATAATAGCGTTCGATCTCATCAAATCAATACAGAGTAAAACATTTTTTTTAATCACTTATTTTCATTAAACCACACTTTTTCTTTTGTTTACTATCTCGCTTACTTTATTAGGTACCATTTGGATTTGTGCGAGAGCCTTTTTGGTGAAGGTACATATCCTGAAGTTGATGCAACAAACCTCTACTATGGAGGCCATAAAATCGCGGGTATGTGAGAGATTAAAACCTTCTATATAGGTCCTTGTTTTTATATCTTGCCGTATTGTGACAAAGTTTGTGAAATCTACAGCAACCAAAATCATTTTCACAAATGGGTCACAAGATCCATGGCGTCATGCTTCCAAACAGACCTCATCTCCTGAGTGTAATTCTATATTAACTTAGCTTTTAACTTCTGTACAAATTTGTGCATTTTTCTGACAAATTAATGTGGCAGTGCCTTCTTACATCATGGATTGTCATAACTGTGGCCATGGAACTGTTCTACGAGGATGCCCCCAATCTCCAATGGTCATTGAAGGTATAAATTAAAGAACTTGTACCTTCTGCTCTTAAAAGTCAAAAAATGTTAAAAGATCTTCCTTTATTTTCAGGTAAATCAAATAACTGCAGCTCACCTGATGTTGTAGACAAAGTGAGGCAACAGATGGTAGAACATATCGATTTGTGGTTGTCTGAATGTCGCGGATCTACCAGGAGTTCTAAGTAACGTTGCAATACAATATAGAAGACTATAAGTAAACAAACTACAGGAGACACATTTTAGTCTTTACTACTGATTTCAAACCAAATATGAATGGAAATTGTTAGCCTCAAGCAGTAAATACATTTGAAGCAACTTAGTATTTACTCTGTGCGTCGTTGTTGAAAAGGAGGTTGTTGAAAAGGAGGTTATAACTTGTTAACTTATAACAAAGGTTGCGATGTCACAACTTACAAGGCCTTTAACAAGTTGACTAGGATTAGATCCGCGCCTTGCGCGGAATGAGATGATTAAATTTGTTGTATTTTTTGAAGATAAGAAGACATTATATCTGTTTTATTTGCATATTAGTTTGTGGGCTTTTTGCAGAATTGACCTGAAACTTAAAGTCAACCACAAAACTAACCTCCCTTTTTTTTGGAATTTTATTTTGCCCAATTTACCCCACAAGTTCATATAATTCACGAAAATGCCATCAATTTTTTTTTTCTTTCGAAAATAACATATTTACTCTCTCACCCTCATCATCTTCAAGTAATTACAAGATTGCCATTGTCATCAATACTCCAACAACCATGAACAACCAATTTTGAAGCTCTTAATGCCTCCAAATTCCATTTACCCTTCTTCTTTCTCTATTCTCATGAACTAAACAACACATTACAACACATATCTCTCACTTTCTCTC